GGGAACTGCACTCTGAGGCACTGAAGTGATCTGAACTAGTGGAAGAGCGTTTGGAGAGGGTGTCACAACCCCCGACAAAGGTGTTGTCCAAAGGGAGTTCCTGAATCACATGATGCTTTTTCACGGAAACCGGAGTGTCTGGTTTAAGATGAAAAGCAGGCTGTGGAGAAGCAGATTTGTAGTGCTTGGCCAGGTCAGGGCTGTTAGGCTTGAAGGTTGTTGGAGGGGCTGGGCCCCAGTCAAATCTTCCTATACTTTGCTCCTCCAGCTCAGCGGGCAGGCTTATTGTCCCATTGATAGGTTCGTGAACTGCATCGTCAGGTTTGGACTCTTCAATTGTAACAAAGTTCAAAAGAGAGCTCTTGGGAGACTTTCTTTTCTTCCTTTTCTTTTTCTTGTTTTGTTTGTTCTCCTGGTTTGGGGACATCCACTCAGCACCTTGCTTGCTCCTCTGAGCTGCTTTGAACCTCGATGCATGGCGACATCGCACCAGGACGGTGACGAAGATCACCACTATGACCACCATGGCCCCTGCGACGATGGCAATCATGATGGTGAGATAGTCCTCATTTTGATAGGGTTGGCTACTGTCCCCAATGTTCCTATCCAGTGGGGTCTCCATAGTCCTGCGAATCAAGTCATAGATATAGGAGGCATTCCCAGCGGTGTCATTAACGTAAAGAAAAACAAGCACGAGTGTGTGCAAAGACTTAGGGTATCCCAGGTCACTTATATTGACCACCAAACGGTGCAAGCCCACATCAGTAGGTGCTGGCTTCTCTTCCAGAGTGATGTTACCTGTTACTGGATCGATCCGAAACAAGCCTTTGTTGTTCCCACTCACAATTGTATACTTCAGTTCGGCGTTCATCCCAGTGTCGATATCCACTGCAAAAACTTCTGCTACCACAGAGCCAGGAATGGCTGAGAGGGGTACCAACTTAAAAGAAGTGTTGGAAGGTGGAGAAATGACAACTGGACTATTGTCATTGACATCCATGACATTGATAGTTACTTTTGCAGTGGAGGAACGAGGTGGTTGTCCTCCATCAGTGGCTTTGACATCAAAAGTGTAGGAACTCTGCTGCTCTCTATCAAATGAGACATTTGACTTTATGACTCCAGAATAGGGATCCAGCACAAAATTATCATTGTCATTTAGAATGGAGAGAGTCACAGCTTTATTCTCTCCAGCATCTGCATCTGTCACTGTGATTACCCCCACAGTACTATACTTTGGCAGATTCTCAGACACAAAAAATTGAAAATGATTATGAGTAAACTTGGGGCTATTGTCATTCTCATCCAGAACAGTAACTATCACGGCCGCTTGGCTTTGGAGGGGAGGGGTTCCATTGTCCCTGGCAGTTACTGTAAAAATGAACCGCTCCTGTTCTTCTCTGTCAAAGACTCTGGAGGCTGTCAAAACTCCTGTCTTTCGGTCCAAATCAAAGAAGGAGGCATTCGGTCCAAGCTGATAAACAATGTCCGCATTTTTCCCACTGTCTTCATCTGTGGCACTAATAGTTGTTAAGTATAACCCACGTCGGTTGTTTTCAGAAACTGACAGCTCAATTACAGGCTGGTTGAAAATTGGTGGGTTGTCATTTTCATCCTCAAGCTTAACCCTTACCAGGGCAGTCTGATTTAAACTGGGTTTCCCAGAATCAGAGGCAACAATTTTAAAGCTGAATTCTTTGGTGCCCTCATAGTCCAACAAAGAGGAGGTCTCTAACAAATATTGGTTATCGTATACTGCCTTCAAATGAAATGGGACCTCTCTTTCAATAAAACAGATCACTTTGCCATTCACATCTGTGTCCTTATCTGAAACTGTAATTAGGGCAATCTTTGTATTGACAGGATCTTTCTCAGATAAATACACTGTGCCATTGATGGGACTTATAATGTACCTGAGGTCTATGTTAGGAGGGTTATCATTTACATCAGTGACATTGATGGTAACCGTTGCTCGAGCAGGAGTGGAGCTGCCATCACTAGCCAGCACTGTCACTTTGTGAATGGCTGTCTCCTCTCGATCTAGGGACCTCTGAACTGTAATCAGTCCAGTAGTATTATTTAAAGCAAAGAGCCTTTTGGTTGCAGGGGCGACCTGGGCACCAAAAATGTACCGGATTTCAGCATTACTGCCTATATCTGCATCAGTGGCATGGAGCTGAATTACAGAGGTGCCCACAGGAGCATTCTCTGGAATATGCACCTCCACTTGACCCTCTTTAAACACTGGCCTGTTGTCATTTACATCACTTACTGTGACCTGCAGTATGGCCGTGCTGGATTTCTGTGGAGTGCCTCCATCCTCTACTTTGATTTTCATCACATAGGTATCTTTCTGTTCTCTGTCCAAGTTTTGCTGAACAATCAATTGCGGCCACTTCTCTCCCTCCGGAGTTTCCACGATATCCAGTCCAAAAACACTCTGCCCATTTAACAATTCATAATGCTGTACACCATTGAAGCCTGTGTCAGGATCTGTTGCCGATGGAATTGGAAAGCGGCTGTTGATCAAAGTGTTTTCTGGAATGGAAATATTGATGACAGGGGATGGAAACATGGGGGCATTATCATTGGTATCCTTGACAATTATTTTTATTTTGATCAGCCTGAAAAAATCATTGGGGAGGATCACTACCTCAAGTTCAAAGAAACACTCATTCTCCTCAGCATAAGAGGCTCCAGCACAGAGTTTTTCTCTGTCTATTCTATTGGAGGTTGTGAAAATTTCCCCAGTGCTACTGGATACTTTCACCAAAGGGGCATCCCCAGCTTTAGAAACCAGTCTGTAGACAAGGCTGGCACTGGTCCCTGTGGCAGCATTGATGTGAGAAATGTTCAGATCCTTTGGTATGTTTCCTATGGGCACATTTTCAGGCAATTCCTCTCTAATAGTGTAAATAAGTTCTTGAGCTATTGCGGAATCCAGCCTTAAACAGGCAATCAGAGCAGCCAACAGGTAAAAATCCCTCAGGTCCATGATAATGTATTTATTTTCTTTTCCTGGATTTTAGGGTTTAAAGGTTTCCACTGAGGAATGATGCACGAATTGCAAGAGGAAGCGTGCATGGACTGGAGGATGCATTACATCTCATCGCTTATTTGGAGACAGCCACTGTCAACACAATCGTATAGACAATATTATTCTTCAGTAAACAAAAACACACAGTCATGAAATATCACAACACATTTTCCACTGCACATTAGTAAACATGGCAGTTTGCTCTGCCACTGTTTGCAAGTTAACTCTGTGGATGAAAACACTAAATATCCACTGCTTGTCGCATTTGCCAGGAGAAAATGAAATTAATCTACTTTTGAATTAAGGACAGCTGCTATTTTTACCTGAATTCACCCACACTGTTTTTCAGGACACTGTTTAATTCAAAACATGCATTCTTGTTCTCCTCTTCCCCTCCCCCTGTCTTACCCGCCTCCTGGCTTCTAACCCACCTCCCTTAGTTTTTTTAGGTGCAAGTGAAAAACACCAAGTATTTAGCTATGGTTCCTGCTATTTGCTTTGTCACATGTCAAATGTGATGTTTTCTTCTCTGCTACACTGAGTCACCTCTTTCCTCTAAAAAGACTATCTCTTCTTTCCTCCCAGTTCCTCAACTGCCTTCTAATACAGTCTTACTGGGAAACAAGCACCCGGACATGCTGCTGCAGCATCAGAAGCAATAGTCACCGGCCACTACATAGCCTCATTGCTTAAAAGCACGATACCAACACTTCAAATTTCCTACCCAGACCTTGCTCTCATTTCTCCATATTGCCAAATTATCCCCATTTGGATTAAGAAACACACTAAAACTTTTAAAAATGTATAATACAAGATTCCTCATCCTAGATGTGGAAGAGAGTGTGGAGATGGAAGTAAAACGCAGCTAACATTTCCATGTAACAGCACAATATTTTCTACTGAACATAAAAGAGGAAAAAAATGCAGTTTCTTAACCCTGATCCCTGGTTATAATATGAGTAACATCTGCCACACATAAATACTGCAACCCAGTAACGCAGGTAAAAAGGCTTCTGTTTAGATGCTCCCCTAACTGCAATTTAAATGGGTGCAAGGCTCCAGGCAGCTACCTACTTGAGTAGAACTGGTCAGTTCCCAGGCTCTAATCTTATCTGCATTAGGCTGTACGGTAGCTGATGCCCGCGATTAGTTCCAGCAGAGTGATGCAGGTAGGGATGCAGATACAGCCTAGTAGGTGAGCTCTGCCCCAACCGTCTACCCAATTACAAACATCCCTCGTCCACACTGAGGACATATCTAAACACAAAATTTACAATTGTGCATGCGAAACTTTACACTTACGTTAGTTGCCTCAACCTTTCCCCTTTCCCGGTATGCTGCAGTTAGGAATGATTTGTTCCAACACATAGAAAGCCATGCATCTGGTAGCACCAGTTTGGGGAGAAATCAGAAGCAGCAAAACGTTTCCTCCTTGTGAATTGTGTTGCTTCGGGCTGGCAAATTAGCAACTCCAGAGAACAAATTCACAGATTTGTCGTTAGTCATTCTCTTCACATTTTCGTCTCTATTACCACGGGGTCTGGGCTCTTCTGGTATTTAACACACACACAACATCCAGTTGCACTTCTTCAGCTCAGGAGTATTTTCCACAGCATCAGGCATACCATTTCCCTCCGATGTCAATACTGCTTAAGTCTAACTTCTGGTAGGAAACGTCAGAGTTGGGGTGATGGTGATTCTCTGGCTGCTCTCCGAGATGACAGTTGCCCGAAAAATTCCTAATCGGTTATGTCTTTCGTGCTTCAGAGACTCTAAGGCGCTCCTTCCTGTCTTGCATGCTCTCCCTCTCTCCCTTCTCCTCTGCCCCTCTCTCCTTCTCCCTCTCCTCTCTCCTCTCTGAACTGAATTTCTTGATATAACTCTCAATAAGCCCAGAGGGAGGGCGTGACTGCCAGAGCCCCGCCTCCGGCCCCTGATTGGCCCGCATCTTGCGGTGCGGGCGGCTGCAGCCAGGCACGAGGGAGGGGGCGAGGAACAAGGCGCTGACTGTCTCCCAGCCTCCCCTCCTCAGCGCCCCCTCGGCAGCCGCGAAAACCCGGAGAACTGATCCTGGCCCCGGGAGAGCCGGGCTCCAGGAGGCGCACTGAGCATGCCCAGCAGGGTTCGGCCCGGAGGGAAGTGCCGCTGCTCCCCAGGCCCGCGCGGAGGCAGCTCTCGCAGCGTGAGCCGCCCTTTGGTTTGCTCTGTGCGGCGAGGGGCAGAGAACCGCGGAGCACCGGTGGTGGGACGAGCCGGGGCGGCGCGGGAGGCAGGCGGGCAGTGCAGGCAAGGATCCGGGGAGCCTCCCTCACCGCGATGGGCGGATGGTGGGGGGGGGGAGGGGGGTGCAGAGACGGCTCATCTCCGAAAGCACATTTCGCACTTGTCTTTACTAAATGGAGGGGCCAGAATGCGAAGGGAGGGAATAGTCAAACCAGGGTATGAGACACGACATGCGCTGTCACCCCTCAGGAGGAAGCACGGGCCAACGGATCTCCGGAGAGCGTTAAACAGACAACATGCCCGGTGCTGCAACTAGAGGCTTTTGCTGGCAGGAACATTGGCAAGAAGGGCAGAGAGGGCGGATAGCGAAAGGTCGGGACAGGATATTTGAATCTCAACCAGGACTGGAAAGAAAATTAATTTGCGCACTATCTAGAAGCAGGGTGATGGAAGATGCCTGGGGAAAGGGAAAGTGGCAGCTTCTGGGACGCCCTTGATCAGCCCCAGGCCTGTCTGGCGTGCGGTGCAAAGTCTCGTCTCGGAGAACAGCGTGGGCCACGGCGACCTATCTTAGCTGTCCTTGCACTTCGACTCCCGCGGTGTCCAGAAACCTAGGAACCCGAGCTCGTCAGGTCGCGCGGCTGCAGCAAAACCTGCATCCAGCTCGCCTAACTGCAAACTTTGCTTGTGAGAGGCTGGAAGGAGTCCCGTCCAGCTGTTCCCCAAGCTGTAGAGCATTTCCTTTCCTTTTGCACTTCTGATTGCAACTTTACATGTAGTACTTGTCTCTCCCTGTGCATTTCTGACTCCAGTTCTGTACCAAATCCTCACAGGTTTCTCCTTTTCATACAAGAGCTAAACGGAATGACTCCGGAAAGGATCAGCCTTATTCCCTAAATATTAGCCCCCGAAGCACTGTTTTCGATTGATCTTTTAAAATTAGCAAACCACGAAGATTTCTGTGGGACTCTACCCACAACGCCAGATACCTAAGTTTGAGGCATTAATAACAGTTCACTTGGAACAACACACACAAAAAATGTTTTTGAATGACCTGTAAAAGTTGTCTGAGAAAGTCTTAATGCGTGATTGAATAACTTGTTCTAACTTAGAGGATAAAGAGTATTTGTCTTAAACCTCCGTGTTCCTCATTCTGTACTGGGCTGTAGAAGCACTAAAGACTCTACAGTTAAGCACTATGATGGCATGTTCCTTTTGTTTCAGTACAATGTTTTGGTTGTTGTTGTTTTTTTCCAATAAGAATAACTTATTTTTAGATATTTAAAAGTAAAAAAGGAAATCATTAAGCCTACCAGTCTTAGATATTGTATAAATAATTCCATTATTTAACCAACTCATTTGGCATTACAATTTCCCCTCATCTGTGAAAATATAAGCTCCTTTTTATTCAAACTTTTCCTCTGGCGAATATTCACAATAAAAGTGCAGTACCTAAAAGCCCACTGTAAAATACATTGATCCCTTATACATAAAATAGAAAAACAGTTTCTTGCAAGCAATAGGTGGATATTGTTTTTAAATAGCCTAATGACTCTTACAATAGTATTTTGTAGGATTAGAATATACTGAATGAAAAGGTCTGCTTAAGTATACAAAAGTCAAAAAAAAATTACCTGATACAATGTGAATTACAGGAATTCTTTTATTTTACTACTGATGATTATTTTGCCATTCACAAAATCTACAGTTAAAGCTAGTGCATTGTTCCAACTGTCATCTATTTTATGCTCTGAACTAGTTTAAAATAAATGAACCATCATCCTGATACATTTACAATAAACACAGCAGCACAGGCACTTTCCAGTTCATTTCATAAGCATCGTGCTATCTCACCTTCTTATTCTAATCATACTGTAGTCATTTCAAAGTTCTGTTGTAATTGCAACACATAGCTTAGCAATAATTATTTAACCTTATTACCAAGCGTAATTGTTTCTGTTTGCTAAAGAATAGCTTGACTTGTAGTCAGGACCCATTATTATCTTACACTCAATAGACGAAATCTTAGAACACAGATGAAGGTTAGGAAGAGAAAAAAAAATTATCACATGATTAAATTTACAACCATGAGACTTCAATTAATGGAAACCACAGGTCAAAGCCCCCAAAAAGAAATACATTTAGATTCTTTGCAAAGGAAATTGAACACAGAAATAAAGCTGACTTCAGTGCATTCTATTTTGTGTTTATTTAGCATATCTAAATCACTGAGATTCTTTAACCATACCAGTTTTAGCTCTTAAAGCCAGAACAGTTGAAGCTTACTGTTACCCTATTATATTCCAACTTATAAACTATAGAATGAGAACTACGATTAGAGATCTCATGAATATTCCTGGGAAAAAATAACTTGAGGCTTCTGACCAAAACACTATGTAAAACATGTGCATAATGAGAGCTGCTCACAATTCACCTCTACTTTTTGAAAGTTGTGTCAACAGAATTATGAACTTGGGAAATAGTAATTTTAGTTTTCGTAGGGGAATATATTGTGGGTTTTTTTTTTTACTGCATTTTAATTGTTTTTCCTTAGTGAATTGAATAAAATATTAGATTTCCAATTATGACTTCCAATACAGATCTTCCAAGATGTATTCTAGACTTCCAATTAGATCTCTTTTAACCATTATTCATCTTTGTTAGTGCATGTGTTGTAGAGCCGGGAACCACGATATTCTCACCTGTGTTGTACCTGATTAGTACTTTAGGAATTATGTCATCTGGGCTATATTAAAATTGCCTTAGTGTTCTCTCTGCATTATGTAAGTCATGGGACACTTACAAAGCTAAGTCACCTTCAGCCAGCTAACTGAAAACTAAAATGCTATTACAGACTTATGTTGAAAAAGATGTCAGGTTGAAATTATTATATTCTGAAATTTTAATGTTGCTCTGTTTATATATATTAAACAATAGTTTCCATGTAATGGCACTTAATAAATTATGAAGTTTAATTGGATTTTCATCTGATTTTCTAGTTATCACTCAGCATTTTAAAATTACATTTCATATCAATTGTAAAGGCTTCTTTAAGAAACAATTTATACAAGAAACAGACTGTGGTACTTGGAATGATCAAATGAACTCAAGGATTTCAGAACTAAAATTTTCGACTCTAATATACTAGTTCTATATTGTAATCAAAGTTAAAAATTAAAAAATATTTCCATGCCCTATATTTCTAAAGTTCCTTTAATCTAGATGTCTTACTGTGTCTGACACACATTAATCAATCACAGGGGCTCTTACCTCACAGCAGGTGTTATTGTCCCCATTTCACAAAAGATGCTAGACTATTGTACCCTACTTCTGGGGGAGAATTGTGTGAAGAATACTAAGGGTTATTTGTATTATCACTGTTTAGAAAATGACAATGCAGAATCCTAACACCACAAAACGAAAATTAACACCTTTTAAGCCTGTGCAAACTGATTAAGTGTAGTAAGCTTCTTGAATAATTCTTTTGCTTCACTATTAGCTTTTTCTTTGAATACTTTTTTTTTTCTTTAACGAAAACCTAGTTCAAGGTAATCAAATCACAAAGGAAAGCAGGTGACAAGAAGCTTCATTCTGTTTGAATGACTGAACTAAATTTATCCCAATTTGCTATATTTTTATGACTGACAACGATTATAGATGTCAGGTTTGTAGCTCTAACAGTTATTACAATATTAACTGACATTTTCCAGTGCCTCTATGTTATCATGACTACTATATAAAGAAAATATTGAATTTTCAAGTTTCATTATTGGTTTTTTAAGACGTAAGGTCATATCAAGACATAGCTTTCATAACAAAGACTTTCCCCTCTCATAGGTGGGGCTCAGGTAATCACTCAGGAAAACATGAAAAAGTGGTTTTAAGCTAGTAAAGAGAATACATGTTTTTTAATTTGATCACTTTAAGTCATGCAATTTCAAGTAAAATATAACATACAAAACTTTATTTCCTGTGTATATTTCTATTTTCCAGTTTTTATGGGCAAAAACTGTTAGATTAGAATATCAGGTACGATCTATTCACAATTCATATTTATAGAAATGTCCAAACATGCAAAAATAGCATGCACGTTTGGAAGCACCTGTATTTACACTGAAAAATAGAGATAGGAAAATGTTCGAGACAAAAACCTGGTTCAAACACAACAGTATTTGCCCAAGGATAATTGGGAAAATGATTTTCTTAGATATTAGGACTTTCTCAACTTAAAATATAGAACAAGTTTTTTATTCTTTCAGTACTTTATCAGTAAGAGTATGTTGTTGAAAACAAAACTTCCTGTTTCTTGAAACATCATTCTGGTAACTCATTCTATATCCTCCCCGCCCCTGACACACACACAACTTCCTGCTTATAAATCTTTCCTGTTTTTGTGTGTGTGTGTGTGTGTGTGTGTGTGTGTGTGTGTGTGTGTGTGTGTTTTAAGACAAACTCACATGATATTCTTCTAGGAGCCCAATTTGTTACATAATGTGCACATAAATAGACTTAATATAGGGCAGGATGGATAAGCCTCATTTTTCTCTTATAATCCCCTCTCAGGAACCAAATTCAACCCACAGTCCCCTCTAATTCAATTAGGATGAGTCAGGGAGACGATGCATATTCCATTGACTCCTGTAGCTCTGGCTTAACTCCATATCACTGATAAGACCCAAGTGATGGATATAAGGATTGCTCAGCCTTTAAAAGATACTGGTATGCTTTGACTGGGACTTAAGTCAATACCACTCTGCTGAGAAAAGTTGTGTGTATACATACAATTCTTTAATTTTTTCTTAAATGAAAAACTGATTCTGCAGTGTATACTAATACACTCCTTAAAAGGTTCTGAAATGCACATCATCTTTTCAATCCTATGCCTATGAATTTACTGTGCTCCAGCTATAAGATTGGTGAATTTTCAGAAAGGATTAAAAGAGCATCAAAGAAACTTCTTGACTTTACAGAATGGGGTTGATCTGCTTTAAAGCAAACCAGGACACATAAGTGATTTATTTTTAAAAATAGTATGTTACGAGACACATTACATGGAGCTTATAAGAAAGGCTAAGTATGAAAATTTTCCTGGGAAAAATATCACTTGTAAAATATAAGAAAAAGCAGTAAGTGCCTCTTACAATAATTTCAAAAAGATCATAAACATTTATGTCACAAAAATATTCATGCAATGTATTGATTTTGGAGAGTAAATAGCACCATGTTTGAGAGCAACATCAGTGTATCTATGACCTAATTGCAAATTTATTTGTTAATTTCTGGGAATAACAACTATACCAATAGACGTGTCTTTAACAGCTATAATGGAGTGTAATGGGATTATTTTTCAGTAATATTTGTCTCTCACCATGGAATTAGGCTGACTTTTTGGTATATTGCAACAGAGGAGATCCTAATGACCAAGTGACACTTCATGTAAATATCGCAATTAAGAGTATAAAGTGAGGATTACATGAAATTATTATACTCCTATGGGACAAATTTAGTGTCATTAATCTATTCATGAGTTCATTCAAAAATCTATTTAAAACTCACACTATATAAAAAAAAAACCTACTCTACTTTTAAAAACCTCCTATATGCTCAACATAGAAATATTCAAATGTCTCAAACATTCAGCTGAGGCCTCTTACTATTTTCTTTTTTTACAGTGAGCATACTAGCCTGTGAGTCCTTTCTACTTTGCTAATACCCATGACAATATCTCTTCTTCATATTTTAGATTTAAAAAATTTTGCTTGTGACATTATTCTTAATAGTTTAAATGCTCAGTAGCAAGTTTTTGATAATATTCATAAATATGCCAGCAATCTAGTTGTTTTTAATCTTCACATTAGTCCAGAAGGTCTACTGAGTTTATTATTTTAAGGTTATTATAGTAAAATTGACTTTGTGATTTAAATAAGAATTAACCTGATTCTGTGTTTCTCAAACCTTAATATGAATACTAACTCTCCATATATCTTGTTAAATTAAAATGCAGGTTCTGATACATTAGTTTCGTAGTGGGAGCTGAAGTTGTACATTTCTACCAAGTTCCCAGGGGATCCTGATGTAGGTGTGGACCACACCTTAAGTAGCAAAGACCTAAGAGGAATTTTAAAAAGTATCCTGACACACAGGAAAAAAATAATAATAAAGACAAAAAAACACTGGAGAAAGGATTATACCTTTCTGGAGAAAGGATTATACCTATACTGGAGATGGGTATAATCCTTTCTCCAGTGTTTTTTTGTCTTTATTATTATTTGAGATGATAAAATACTTGTGTGGACACCTTGTGTGGACATCTCCACAGCTCACAAGACTTCCTGTTTTGGAAATGTTTTTCTCCATGTTCCATCCACATGGGCAGCAAAACATCCATGTTCACATGGTGTGGACTCCTCCCATCCTGCCAGAAGTTGATGGATCCATCCCACTCTGCCAACACTTGATTACATTTAGGAAGATATTAAATTCAAGATTGACCAGCAAACCCCACACTAAAGAACCTAGGTCTGTAACAAAGATAGACCAAGATCTAATTACTCTGAACTATGTACTCAGGAGTAATTAGAATCCGTTTTTCATTACATAGGCCAGAAAACCAAAGGAAGTTTGAGAGAGAGCAGAAAGGAGATGATGCATGGAAAGAACCAGAGATGAGGAACCCCTATGGTAGTGAATTACCTGGCTCCAGTTTATTGTCAGTATCCAATCATATCCCTGCCACTATGTCAGAGCTACACTTTATAGTAGCCTTTATAACAGCTATTACTTGCAACAGTGAGCCCTAATGTAAGAGCTCAGCACAGCAACTTGGTAATTTTACTTGACCCCATTCCTAACTTACCCACTGAAGGACTAATGAACTACACTAACATGACTGGCATTTTATAATTGCAAGAGAGAATACATGAAAATAAAAATCAAACATATCAGTGGTTTTTAACTCGGGGTGTGCCTGGAGACCTTTTGATTACCACAACTGGAGCACGAAGAGGGGTTTGTGGGAGAGGAAAGAGTTCATGGGAGGGGCTGCTACTGTTTGCTACTGGTATCTAGTAGGTGGAGGCCAAAGGATGAGGCTAAATATTCTATAATGTACAGAACACCTTCCCTAACCTCTGCCCTCCCCCCCCCCACACCCCAAAGAATTAAATGGCCCAAAGTGGCAGTGGTGTCAAAGTTGAGGAACACTACCTTAGATGAATAGCATTTGTATGTTTTATATTATGATGTCACTTCTATTTATAATATCTAAGTCACCAGAGCAAATGTTAAAATACCACTGGAGTTCATTTGATACCCAATAGGACAATGGACAGAATAGGTTACAAATTACATCTCTGAAATACTAGTTGAAATAGGAAGAAATCTCTTCCAACTCAGTTGGGCCTAAACTTGGCCATTTCTGTCCATTCTTGTTTTTAGAAAATTAAAGGTTCATGTATATGTGAGGTATTTTTACTAGTTTTATGCTAGTGTGTCGGTTAATTTTATCTAGTGTAAGTTAAGTTTATATGCCCTTTTTATTTCTATTATTTCACAGTTTTAAAAAATTTACCCCACCCACAAGTACTCTCACAAAACACGACTGCCCTAGATTTTGTTACATATCTGACACATTTGGGTTGTTCATCAGGGCAAAAATTTAAACTACAATCATTCCAAACAGAAGATGAAAACCTCCCTTGGTTATAAGATTATAATTCCCAGTAAGGCATCTATAGCTGTGTTCAAAGCATCTATAACTCTATATACAAGCCAAAAAACAAAATCCAATTAGTTGCTAAAATTTCTTTAATCCTGGTTATCATAGTCTCAAGAACTTATTTTCATTCTTCCAAAGGATATAAATCACATATATGTTTATTCTAAAGTTTTGAGGTCAATTTAACAGTTCCTGGAAATTTACAAATTAAATTGCAATTGTGACTTAATAAATGAGAAAAATCTTGCTGCATTAGGTTAAACATTCACTCAGGGCAAAATAAAAAATTCTGGAGAAACAGTACTAGAAAACTGAAGTTTTTACTATATACAATTTGGCTCATTTGAGAATAATTTTAAAAGTTAAAATATTTCCTAACTGTGGTAAACACTGCCATCTAGAGGACTTTTTTGGTAATACATATCAAAACTAAAATACCCAAATGGATTAAACGTATGGATTCATGCCATAATTTTTAGAAGTTTCACAA